ATGAAAGCCAATGAATGCAGTTAAGAGTGTAGAAGCTATTTATGCTCGCTACCCATGTAATCACAAAGTAAGAAAAATATTTGGCTATTCCTTTGCCTAAATAAAATTTATTAACTTAATATTATCTTGTGATACAGTTTTATCCAATTTTCAACAAGTTTATTTGTGTATGTGACATTTCAGTGCATTTCTAAAACTAAGAAAGTTGTAAGCATGTGAAGAGAAAGTTCAGTACTGCAGTGCAATCTGATAAAGTGGGATATTCTCTAGCAGGTCCACACATGCAAAAAAAGAGTGCCAAAAAGCACAGTCATAATTCCTTAAATCTCTTTGAAGCAAAAGCTTCAAAGATTAGAGTGAAAGTCTGCATGTAGGAAAACTGATAATAAATTTCATAAAATGTCAGTCTTGGCCAAAAAAGTAATAGACGATTGCCATATGTAATTTTCAAACCTTGAGATTTTCAGCTAGAGTATAATATAATTAAATTTTATTTTGTGGATATCTGAAAGGGCCACAAGAGTTGCTTGAAAGACCACTTGTGGTCTATGTGGATCATAGACTGAGAATTACTATTATAGCATCTCAGTCTGTAATAGCATAATGCTATTATAGACTGAGAATTACTATGATAGCATAATGATAAAACTTTGTTTGAAATGCTGGCTTTGGTAACCATTTATATTTAAGCATTGCTTGAGATTAAATGGAAATAATTTCTATTTAAATAATGAGTGATGAGATTCAATAGCTCTTTGTTCACATTTCTGAAACAGCAAGGAGTAAATTGGGAGTTTAGTCCTGATGTTTCCGACCAGACATGCAGGCTTCAATTTTCTGGTTTGCAGATCCTTTTTTATAGTTATGCAGTACCTTAAAGTGTTATATTCAGGAAGGAGCTATGTGAGGTCACGCAAGTCAATGAGACAAGGCACCAGATTCCAAGTGCCTCAAAGCATTAAATAATTTTTAAAAGCTATAAATGTACTTCAGATTTAAAAAATAAGTCTTTGCAAAAGTTCAGGTAAGATAGGTTCCCTATCAGAAATTCCTCACTGAATATATATATGCATTGATCATGGTCATATTCTGATATATGATATGGTCATATGATACTCACCATTGAAGATCTGTCTTGGTCTTGACATCTTTTACCATCTCATTTTCATGCATAAATAAAATCACCAATTAAGAAACAGACCTTGCAATTACTTCATGGTTCCACATCAAATCTTTGATCTTTATTTTCAGCCTCTCTAATTGTTTGTGCTGAGTTTAAGCTCATTAATGTTGTAGTTCAAGTTTTCTCTTTATAATGATGTGTTTTCTTAAGTAAATCAATGTTTGCTATTGCCCAAAATTCACCTTTGCCAGAAAGTTTATTATGTGTGTGTTGAACACAGTATATACTTAAGATTATTGATAGCCATGTGATGACAGGGATTTCTAATAATGTGCACAACTGTAATCCCAGAGCAAATAAAAATGGTTGCAATTTCTGATAATTCATGAAAGATGAATGGCAAAAAATAATAGTGAACTTTCCTTCGGTTCTTATCATTTGAATGCAAAAATAATCTATGCTGGTGTGATGGAGTTGGCAGGAAAAATTAAACCAGCTTTTCATCCACAGACCAAAATGATTTCATCACTCAAAGTTCCACGGTTTGTGTAAATAAATGTATAATAATAATGATATTATCAAGTTTTGGTTCCTATAGTAGTTTACAGTTCTTTTTCCTTTTGTTGCATATGTCAATGATTTTCATTTTAATTTGCATCATATCTTCATCATCTGGATTTTTGCATGGGAACATTTGGGAAAGATCATGTCACTTTCTGAAAATTTTGAAATGTTCCCACTCCCCCTTAGCCATTTTGTGATAGATAAATCCTATCCTTTTCTAATAAAAGGTTAACAAGCGGAATGTTTTTATTTCCATTTTTAATCTTTTGCTAGACCATTATGCCAAAAATAATTGAAAATAGTGGTTTCTAAGACTAATTGGCCAGGATTTTTCTAATATTTAGTATTATATCAATGGAAGCATTTGAATGTACATCTTTCTATCTCCTTGCAAATTGCATAAAAGAAACTACTTTCTGTGAAGGCACTTCAAGCCTCTGATTTTACTTAATCTATAGGCTACGCCACAGAATTTGCAGTTTGGGGCTAATAACACTATTGATCCATAACGTTTCAACATCTGCATATGCAAATCAATTATCAAAAGACAAGTTTTTTTTTTTTTAAACCAGATGTACTTTTACAGCATGCGTATGATGTTTTCCATGCCTTACATTGGCTTTGTAGAAAATAAAGTTTCTCATAGTTTTTAAATATCCTAGCTTTTGAAATTTTCCAGTCAGCAAATACTGGCGAAATTCATTTCCATTCAGTTCTAGCATATGTAAGATGACTGAGTCACACTTTTAACAGTTTTCTGCTAATCCATTTCTTGCTTTTAACATTTTGTTTTGGTATCATTCTGTAAAACAGCTTATATTCATTACAATAAAGAAAGTCATTATTCAAAATAATTTTCTCCCACACATTTTGAAATCAGGTATTGAAACCCTTCCCAGTTCTTTGATAATTTTTCCTGAAGACATTTTGTTTTTCATTTTAAATCTGCTTAGTGAACCACTTGAGCACAAAAAAGGTAATATGTTCAAACTTGAAAAAGTAAGTTACATGAAAGAGTTAAAACAACAAGTATAATCAATGCAAAAATATTTAATGCTATCCTGAGGCCTAAAATTACTCTATTTTAAAGGTTGACATTTAATTAGAACCTTGCTGCAATTCCGGAAAAGAATTATGGGGAAAAAATAGGGAAATAAATATAATAAAAAGAAAGAAAAAAAGATATTGAATACCAAATTTTCATATGTTTGGAGATTCACTTTAGTCGTGTAAAATAGCATTTTAGGAATCGAAGGAACTAAAATTTTTTTCATTATAAAAAATTCACTATAGCAGGGTTTGATATAATTAGTAATTCAACAGTCATTTCTGAGAAACAGTTTGGATATTTTACTGCAAATACAATTATACCATTGTTTTATTTAATTAGTCCAAAAGAGCTATTAATTTCATTTTGGCATTTTGTGGTGTTTCACCATAAATGGTGTTTCACTTCTCAAATTGTTACCATCAAATATTATCGCCCTGTATTATATTTAGAGAAATTAAATAGTGAAGAATCTTGCATTATGTATGTTTCTTGCATTATGATAAAACATATTTACTGCAAATGCAATTATATACCATTGTTTTATTTAATTAGTCCAGAAGGTCTCTTAATTTCGTTTTGACATTTTGTGGTGTTTCACCAAAAATGGTGTTTCACTTTTCAAATTATTGCTATCAAATATCATCACCCGATACAGTCAAAAGTCGTTAATCCGGACTCGTCAGGACTTCAGCAATTCCGGATTATCGATTTTTCCGGATTATAGATCATCAGTTTAAATCTTGTAAAATGGCATGCAGAAATTCTAAAATTAAAAATATGAAACCGTAATTTATGAAATAAAGAACAATTATGATCTAAAGGGTATCAAAATTTAAAAAAAGAAGCTTAATATTTATTTTGTTTACTTTATTAAACATTTCTTTCAATTTAAGTTGCTTCGTTTTATGTGATAATACTTTCTCTTTAATTCTATAAACAGACATAATTTCTTGTTCAGCTACAAAGTTCCACTGTTCAAGTCCTGTAATTGCTGTGCCGAGAACACCGACTAACTTGTCAATCGAAATTTTTTCGTTTTCACTAACCTCTCTGTCACCTTCTTCATGTCTTTATCCATTTTTTGCCACAATTCCACTTTTTGTTTGATGGACATCGAAACATACTTTCGTTTTGTAGATAGATCCTTTGGGAGCTCCAGCACCGGAAATTCTATTTGACATAATCGAAAGTTCAAGTTTACTTTTATAAAATTGCTTTTACAGTCTACAAAAAATAATAAGCCGGATCTAATTCGAAGATTAAGAAACAATGCAATCATCAACATTAACTGAAATAGATATGAGATCATTTTAGCTTATACCATCCATTATACATAAAACGTGCATGCGAAAATGTATTCTGCGCTTGCGCACACGCATATGTGCAGTCGTAAAGGTATGCGTAAACGCCTATGCGCATGTGTCACGCGGCGCATGAGCAGAAAGTTTTTAGCTTTGAGGTCCGGATTATAGATCATTCCGGATTATGGGTGTCTGAATTAACGACTTTTGACTGTATTATATTTAAAGAAATTAAATTAGAAGAATCTTCTTAAATGTATGTATGTTTCTCCCATTATGGTAAAACAATGGTACTTAAAGCCATCAGGTTTTGAATAAATTTTTGTCTCCGCCCAAATATGGGCATCTGGAAACGAAATTTGAATTTGTTTTATTATCTATTTCATGTTTTGTAAAGCATGTATGAGTTTTTGATTAATAAACTCAACGACTTCAAAGCAAGCAATGGCAACACTGTACAGGGGGGGACAACACATTTTAATCTCCAGCGTGCGTGACTGTTTATTGGAAATTCTAAAGATATGCTCTTTTTATATTATTTTGTGATATTGCTGTTGAATTGAATTTTATGGTTTAAGTGTTAAGAACATGATATTTAATAAATAAAGGTAACACAAAAAACATTTAAAAAAAAAACCCTTTGCATGTAATATAAAATCTGAAAATTTTTGGATTTCTTTTTTTAATTATTATTTATTTTCTTAATTTGCAAATATTGTATATTTGTTTTAGGTCATAAACTTAAAAATTATCTGTTTTATTTATTAGGTTTCGGAATTAAACTGAAAGTATCTAAAAAAGAAAATAATTCTCATTTGTCCTAAATTAGTAGCATATTAAATGTGAATGTTTGTCTTCATTTTCAGTAGATTTTCATATTTTTTGTAAGTACTATTATATTTCTGTATGAATTAAATTTATTTACTGAAGTAATTTAATTTTTTTTTTTTTTTTTATGTAGAATGCTGAATCTTCTGCTGGTGATACTAAACATACCCCACCAAAGGGAATGGCTTCCATTTTGGATGAAATGACTCGAACCTTAGCCAGAAGGTATTACCTTTTTATTTGAAGCATATAAAATCTGAAAATGCTTGCATGTATAATGTAAGCATAAATATATTAAAATTCTTTGAAAGCAAGATTAGGATAATCTCAGAACAGTTGTCTTCCCTTTCTTCATGATCATGAGAAGGCAGACTTGTGGAATTTAAATATTGTTTATAGAGTCAAAAGTCGTTAATCCAGACTCGTCGGGACTTCGGCGATTCCGGATTATAAATCATCGTCAACGCGACGCATGCACAGAAAGTTTGTCGCTTTGAGGTCCGGATTATAGATCATTCCGAATTATGGGTGTCCGAATTAACGACTTTTGACTGTAATGATTAATTTAAATACTGATTTTTACCCCTTTTTAACATTTATAATAAATTCAGTACTTTATTTTTTTACTAGAAAAATTAAAGTTCACTAGATAAGCCGCATCTCCATATACGCTGCTGCAAAGCATTCTGAAAACACGGCACTTAATAGACATTTAATAGTCATTTATTCAGTAATTATCTTCTATATTGATGTAATCATCATCGATAAATTTTATAACATTTACTACATAATGAATAAACATTTGAATACGAATTTCAAACATGAATAAATAAAAATCTGATGTGTACACATGACTTCCTTGTATGGAATATTAAATTATATGCATTTTTTCTTGCATTTTTATTAAACTTATTGGATTGAATTAAATCTACTACGCTGATACTGCATAAACCACAATAGAATAAATGCATTCTTTAAAATTCACTCTATTTGTTTACCATAGCGACACTCTGGCGCTAGGTTCACTTAACAGTATTATATTTCGTTTATATTATAACTCAGAATGCACAAAATTGATATCATTTAAAAGATTATCTAATCGTTGCCACATGTTCTATTCAAATACCATAATAAAGCTAGAACGATGTATAAAAGAAATTAAGCAAACAAAACAAAAAAGAAACAGTTTTTCACAGACGATTGAGTATTTCTCATTCAATTAATTCAGTTCTCACTTTGTGACAAGGCAAAAATACATAAAAACTCAAAATATCTGTATTAAAAATTACGAAGTAAATCTTAAACACTTATTTCCTCGAAAAAATTCCAGAAAGGACTAAGCATGATTTAATTCGCAATAATAAAATGAAGGTGTTATCTTTGTTGTTGCGAAGCTCCGTTTCTCTAGATTGGCAACAAATCCAACTATTCCTGCTACATTTCAAATGTAAACAAGCATATGGCCGCTATCAGTAAAAAATTATTAGGACTTAGCCACACTTAAACAACTTTTCAAAATGCTGATGATAATTCTAAAATATTGCATACATGCAGGTTAAATAGAGGCATAAAAACCTTAACCGGAATGATAAGAAACAACATTATTCAATCATTTTTAAAGCAAAAAATGTACAATTTACAAACATATAAGAGTAAAGAAATTGAGATCACTGAGCCGGGTAACAGAGTAGATATATATATAAATATATTTATATACGTTTGGTGCAGCCAATTGCAACCAAAATATGAGGTGCACATCTACATGTCATAGCAGTCCTGTATACAAAATTTCAACGTTCTGAGGCTATTCGTTTTTGAGTTATGCGAGATACGTACGTACGAATGTATACGTTCGTACAGACGCCATGAAAAATTCTCTTCAGACTTCATTTTAAAGCAGTTTTATAATTTTTTTGAAGGAAAAGAATATTTTATTCTGTCCTTACATACAGATATCGCGCAAAAACATTGTTAAATTGCGTTCGATAGCGGTCAAAATGGATATTCTCGTTGAAATGTGTTTGCCTGAAACTTTTCATGAATACAATACTTCCTTTTTACTTCCTTTAAAAAATGAATGTCTTACCTTGAACTTGGCAAAAACAAACTATGCTGATTTCTAATAGATATTTTATGGGATTGGTAAACTCTATCACCATAAATTACTATATTAACAAAAAGAATATGTAAATTAGATAAACAGAATTTTATATTTAAAATAATTTGCATTTATTTATATAAAATCTTCAAAAGCTGGTTCAGTAATGTCAGAATTATGCAAACTTATCAAATGGCCATCAAGGTCATTTTCAGCACTGTGTGCTAAATCACTTCTTTCAATGTCGATGTCTTCATTTTCTTTTTCAATAATCTTTCTGATAATGAAAGCTGATGTGATCGTATCAGCTGGAACTGATTGTCATGCTTTATTGACCCACAAGTCAGCCTACTCATACAAAACTTTTCTCATCCATCCAGAATTTGTCAAGGAATGAAGTTTGTGTCATATCCATCCCTCTCACTGCTTTTGCAGTTCGTGTTTGAAAATTCTGTTGATGATGCTATCCAGTAGCTGTGAAATTTTTGTAAGTTTTTTTTATTCCGATTTTACCATATCTACTAAATGCGATTGCTTTGATGCAAGAATGATGAGTTCTTGAGATTGGAAAAAAGCACCTTTCCTTTTTTAATAAATTTATCTCAGTCAAAACAACAAAATTTTTTCGTGCATCCATCCTTTTTTGTTCGTCCAAATAATGGTCCATTTATGAAAATTTCCTTTCGAAACTGTTTTTCTATTGAAAATTATCGAAGGGTTGTATTATCCAATTAAACTAGATTCCCTTGTGCGATAAAATACTGAAGAACTACATAGCAACTATTTGCTGAGTTCTCGTCAGTAACAAGTCCAAAGAAGGGTTAAATTACCCTTTATTCCAACTCAAAATAAATGAAAGTAAATAAATGAACAGATGGTCCCTCTCAAGCATGCATTAATCCTCCACTTGGGCTTTAACTCAAAATAGAAAATGTAAAACTGATCTATAGCTAAATAATCAGCTGAAGCTGCACTGAATTAACGAATGGAGTTGGCCTTTATTTTACGATCACCGAGGTATACTAGCAGGCACCTAGAATACGGGCATAGAACAGTAAGCTTAGACTAATAGCAACAATGTGGCCGAAAAGCAGAACATGCTCTCCTACTGAAGTTTTAATACTCATTTCTACCTCATTTGCATAAACCGTAATCCTGAAAGCTCACTCTGGCAGGGAAATGAAGGTGAAATTTTAGAAATGTGCAGGAAAAACATGTTCCAAAATAAAGCTAACTATTAGAAAATTAAAGTAAATTCTACAGGGTTATTGACAGCACAATGCAAAACACAGGTAAAAGAAGCCGTTTCATTCCTGTTTGTTAACCCTTTGACGCACACAATATTATTTTTATAATTTTTTTAACTAAAAACTCCAAAAATTGAATATTATGATCCTAGAGACAAATAATATATGAATTTTAAAAAATCTACTCTTGCCCATTGTTCTGTGGGTGGTGGTCACACCGTGAAACCATTTCGCGTCTAGGACTTTGAAACTTACTGAGGTAGTAGGGAAAAAAAACTTAACCTTTCTCTGTGCACGTTTCCAATAAATGATGAAATTTACGATTTAAAAAAAAAAAAAAAAATGTATGTAGGAATTGCATAATATATAATTTTTTTACAAAGTAAATTGTCAGAAAAAATTAAAAAATAAACATTTATGTGATTTTTCTATAGCAGTGAAAATATAAGTACCTACATAACGTTTGGCTAAATGGGTTAAAAAACTCAGTGAAATAAGGATAAAAAATCTGATTTATACACCCCATGACTTCCTTGTACAGAATATTAAATTATACGCATTTTTCTTGCATTTTTTTTAAACTTTATTGAATTAAATTTACTTCGTCAACAGCGCATAAACTACAATAGAATAAATGCATTCTTTAAAATTCACTCTAGTATTTGTTTACCATAGCGACACTCTGGCGTTAGATTCACTTAACAGTATTAATAATTATATAACAGTTAACTTATATAATAATTATATAATGGAAACCAAGTTAACTGTTATATAATCCAATAATAATATAACAGTTAACTTATATATTTTGTTCATATTATAACTCCTAATGCACAAAATTTATATCATTTAAAGAATAGAATTATCTAATCGTTGCCACATGTTCTATTTAAATACTATATAAAGCTAGAACGATGTATAAAAGAAATTAAGTAAACAAAACAGAAAAAAACAGTTTTTCACAGACGATTGAGTATTTCTCATTTAATTAATTCAGTTCTCACTTCATGAGAAGGCAAAAATACATAAAATCATCAAATATCTGTATTAAAAATTACGAAGTAAATCTTAAACACTTTTTCCTCGAAAAATTCCAGAAAGAATTAAGCATGATTTAAATTGGCAATAATAAATGAATGCGTTATCTTTGTTGTTGTGAAGCTAAGTTTCTCTAGATTGGCAACAAATACACTAGTCTCCTGTTTCAAATGTAAACATCAATGGCCGCCATAAAAAAAGGCTTAGCGGCATTTAGACAACTTTAAAATTGTTGATAATTCTAAAAATATTGCATACAGATTTACTAAAGGCATAAAAACCTTAACAGGAAGATAAGAACAACATAATACAATCATTTTTAAAGCAAAAAATGTACATTTTACAAACGTATAAGAGTAAAGAAACTGAGATCGCTGAGGTGGGTAACAGAGTAGATATATATATAAATATATTTATATACGTTTGGTGCGGCCGATTGCAACCAAAATATGAGGTGCACATCTACATGTTATAGCAGTCCTATATACAAAATTTAACCATTCTGAGGCTACTCGTTTTTGAGTTATGTGAGATACGTTCGTACAGACGCCACGGAAAATTCTCTTCAGAATTAATTTAAAACACTTGTATAATTTTTTTGAAGGAAAAGAGTATTTTATTCTGTCCTTACATATAGATATCACGCAAAACCATCGTTAAATTTCATTCGATAGCGGTCAAAATGGATATTTTCGTTGTAATATGCTGCCTGAAACTTTTCGCGATTACAATACTTCCTTTTTACTTCGTACAAGGAAGTAAAAAAAGAAAGACTCGGCCTTTTTTTTTTTTTTTTTTTATTTCAAAGAACAAATATTTTTTGTGACTCTGTTCAAAGCTTGTTTTGTCTCTTTGGTACGTGCATAGACCCACATTGCATGTTTTGCACATGTATGTGGTTTCTTTTTTGTGCTACAAAACGTACACTGCCTGGATCTAAATTTCACTGGTATATGTCCAGCGTTATTTAGTTTCTTTCCATCTGGCGCCTGAAATTTGTGGGTTTTTTAATGTTAATGGGGGGGGGCTTGGTCTTTTTGGCTTTGGTACGGATCATTCATTTCCCATTCATGCTTATTTTATTCATATTTTGTCCCAAAATATTTTTAATTTAAATAAAACTTTACACGATTTCTATTTTTAATTATAGCAAAGTATATTTACATTAAATTTAAACCACAGGAAATAATTTATAAAATCATAATACTAGCTTGGGGAGCAAGCATGTTGAGGTCAGAGAAAAGTCTCTGGAAAAGAAAGACCTTTTTACTGGCCAGGTGCATGTATTGTTTAGTAATAAAATAACTCTGTGGTTTCAAAACCCCTTATCTATATGCGGGTAAAAATAAACATTCCTAATTGAGAAGCAAGCAAACGCCGTTGTGAAGAGCAGTGGTTTCAAGGCACGACCACCGAGCCTCTAGAATATTGTGACACAATGCTCTAGTGGTGTAGTGGTCTCACCCTGAAACCACAAAGCAAACATATAGAGGGTTTTATTTATATACGCAGTTTAATTATTGCTATTTTTTATTGTTTATGATAGAAATCATGATGTGTGATGAATAACTTTTGAAATTTAAAGTTGTTTATATTAATAAAAGGAAGTTATTTTGTCTCATCGATAACTAATTTTAAAAGGCATCCGATTTGAAGTACTAAGACCTAAAACATGCATGATTCTGCAGTCCTTTTATGTTATTTAGAGGTAAAAGATCAGTAATCAATTGATTTTTACTCAAAAATTTCAGAAGGAAGAGGAGAAAAATATTCGAAAATTGGTGGTTTCAGGGCGCGACCACCGCGCGTCAAAGGGTTAACACAGGAATAGTTTTTAACTTGTCGAATGAACAGTTCTGCTTAAAGAACAGTGAAATGTAACAGGCACTTCATCCATATTTATTATTTGCTCTCAATTAAAATTTTTAAGCTTCTGTCAAGCTGTTGTCCTGACAAAGAATTTCTTTTGTTTCATAAATCTGAACACTAGATCCTCCTACAAAGTTTTCGCTACATATTTTTTGACCAATTACTTAAAACTTGAAGATAAATTCTAAGTGTTGACATTGATAATCCGTTCCTGTTGTTCATTTCTCTAAATTGGGGCCACCAATGGCTGAGTGGTAAAGTCCCTGAAAACTGGTACTTCAGTCTCTGTGCTTTGAATCCTGGCTAACGGGTTGGCTGCAGGTGTATTTTTGTGGTTTTTCCTATGTGTAATGCATATACAAGCCAATTTCCTGTAGAAAGGTGTCAATGAAGGCATCCCTTCCCTTAAGCAGATAGCACTCAAGTGCTTTACTATAATTTAAAAAAATATGTTTCTAAATTGCCTTCCAAAGCAGGCCAGGCTGTAATGCTAGTTTGATAAGCTATTTTATTCTTGGACATTTTTTTAAACTCTACTTGCTTAACTTCCGACGCTGAATACATCTCTTGCTAACTCGAAATTCTCTGGCTTCAGCCCGATTTCTAATTTCTACCATGTTCTTCACTGACTAAAGCCTAAAAGCAGCTGTGTAACTTTTTCTTCAAGTAGGAGCCATAATAATAATAATTTAAAATGCACGCATGACTGATAATGTAGAGTGCAACAAATAAACAATAAACAAACCACAAAGCAGTGAGACATTTAAGAATGAACAAAGAACTTAATGAAATAAAAGTTTCTGTGACATTAAAAAGAAGATGGTCATCGTAAAACACAGACAAAATCATGAAGTTTAGCAGAAAGTGCGTCCATTTTACGCTGAGCATATCCTACCATAGCGCATATCATGTTTCTCGCAAGTATGAACTTGTTAATGCAACGTAAGCACTTGTATTGGGCTAAAATATTGCAATTCCACATTAGCTTTTTCGCTTGTGCGTAACTTATGATCTGAACAAGCAAAGTTCAAAAGACAGTGGGAAAATAAAACTCCTTTAGCTATGCCGCAGACCTAAATTTTCAATTTTTAAATATGTACAAGCCATGATTTATCTACCCAAAATCATAGTAAATTAGTTGTTTGCCATCTTGGCCTGCTATTTGTAATCCCAGAAGAGATTAATTTACTTACATTTTTAAGGCTTTTATTAAGTAATAGTTATAAATAACAGTTCTAAAGGTAATTTTATAATTAATAGGCCCCTTATTTTTTTATAGTCAGAGAATGGCATTCTCCATTGAATCTTCATTGAATTGTGAATCTTCGGTCCCCTGAAGCAGGTTTAGTTTGAAATTTCTCTCTTGATTTGATTTCCTGCACTGATTTGTATAACTTGGCATGTGCATAGCAAACTGGTGTTGCCCAGGCGTCTATGGCAGTGCAATTTGATGGGTGGACTAAACCATTCTAGCAATTTGTGATTCTTAACAACTGTTTTTTGGCATTGTTGATGTGCATGGCATCATTGTATTGATGATAAGCAAGTGGAATTATCAAAACACTTCAGAAGTGATATATAGGTCTGCAGCACTAAAATACACTCGCAGTTGTTCATGAAACTCTGATTGCCTCGTTCAGAGTTCTCATTGAGAAAAGTACACCTCCTGTCATACAGATTATCTACATGGTAAAGAATGTAATTATTGTATAATATGTGTGGTAAAAGAAAATACTCATATTATGCAGTGGGTAATAATATCATACCACATATGTTTTGAGATATTGTTCGGCAGTTTGAAACTTTGCACCTTTTATTCAAAGCTCCAAGAGTCTATAATGCTGAAGTGTTTCAGGTATGTATCACATCATTGAAACATTTTCATTTAATGCTATTAATCCGTGAAAAAGATAATGACGCTGTGATACAAGCAGTGCTTCAAAACAGCAGGTTTCATCAAGGGCATCGTGAGTACTTAAGTAACCTGATTCTTCACTAGATTATAAATGTAGGCAATTCTGTTGAGCCGTATTTACACCAATAATGAGCATTATAAGTTCACTGAAAACTCAAGACTCAAGACAAAAAATAATAATAATAATAATAAATAAAAGTGTTTCTGCCATTTTTTATCCAAATCATATTGAAATCTTTGCTTGCACTGTTGGTTTTTTGTTTTTAGAATGTTACATTCAGCTACAAAATGCTCAATATCTAGCATCTATAAGTGGCAGAAAGCAAGCAGAAAGGCTGCTTGATAAATCTGTTTTGTAAAGACAGCATTTTGTATCTTCTGTGACAGTATATCTTAGAAATGGCTGTGACATTTACAGTAATAAATGAGTAAAGAACCAAAAATGGCAAACATCTCATTATTGTTGTTGTTGTGAGGTTATGGAGCATCCAAAATTCTCAATTCTGAAACTTTTCTATGCATTGCAGATATCACATGGTAAGGATGATCACTTTCTCTCTCGTTGGCCATTTTATGAATGATTAGATAAAGATTTATGTGAATTATAGCCCTCACATAAAAATGTTATGGATGACCTGAGTGTGGAGAGTTGTTAATGTCAAAATTTCCATCTATCTGAAGTTATCAGATCATTTTTAGGCTGTCTCGAGCATTAGCACCATCCTGTTAAATAATGCAAATTTGTCAGCTGTCTTCTGCGCTAAGTATCCATGACAATAAAAAATATGTCAGAAATTGAGTTTATTGCTTTTTTGATATATCTTATCTCAGAACCTGTGAAATAAAAAGCCATTGCCCTTAAATACACCATTCAATATGATTTGAAATTGCAACATTTCTAACTATATTTTGAATTTTTGCAACTGCTATTGTGTTCTACCTACTGTTATCTACTATTGTTTGCTATCTACATTTTATTATTTGTGCAACATTACTATCTACATTTGTATTTGTTGTACTACTATCTAACTGCATTGGTATCATGCTAAAAGAAAAAAGTCCCTAAATAAAACAGCATAAATTTATACACCAGTCCAATACATGCTTTATGTTTATTATCATTGTCACCTAAAATTATTATTTAATTTAACTTTTTCTCTAAAGATATTTTGTGTGTGTAGTTTAAAATCTAGCCCTTATCTACAGTAACATGAATCTATAGAATATCATATCTGGAGAACTATTAATTCAGAATGTTCTGTTTATATTAAATTTCATTGCTACAGTTTTAGATATAGTACTTTTTTAATGCATTCTGCTTTGGTCTTTTATTTTTAAACTAGCAGTTTATACATTTTATTATTCATGTTAGAGTTTATTTCTTGTTTTTCATTTATACTTAAAATATGACTAATATCTCTGCTTTTGTTTATTTAGGCGTGCTCAGACAGATAGTGGTGTGGTAAGTATTTTAATATATGACGATGATGTTATGAATGATGTGGATTGTGTGTTTTCATAGTTTAAATGCTTAATAATTTTTCAAGTTAAAATGTTTTATTGTGAAAAAACATAAAACATGATTTGTATTGATGAAGTAAATAATGATTTTAAATGCCAAGTAAATGATTTGAAAAATTAGCAGAAGACTACACAAAATGTTTGCAGGAAAAAATTTTTCTATGTATTTGTTACGATTTTAAAAAATTACTTTTTTTTAACTTTCCTTTTTTATTCATAACGATTTTAAATGATAATTAATTTCATTATGATTTACTTTTTTGCTATTTCTCCTGTAACATCTGTCTTGTCATCTGGCAGGCTATATATTGCTATAAATATGTTATTATTATTATTTTTTCCCCCAAATCCTAAGTGTTACTGCTATTAGACAGTTGGCTCAGGAATATTCTAGAAGCTGATATTCGGACTAATATCATATATACTGGCAGTTATGATATATACTTACTCGTAACTGCCAGCTTTAGCAGTTACTTTAATTTGTGTGTCTTCATATGTGAAATGCATTACACACAGTGTATATTATTTTCATGCAGATGCAAAATATTTTCTAATTTTGGCAGTTTATTGTCAAATCTATATTATAGTTGGCAGGCATTTGGGGTAGCATTTCTTCTTTCTAAGACAAATTCACCTATCTGTAGGAAGAGGATAGAAACTTTAAAACATAATATTGCATTAAAAAAAAATCATGTTAGGGGATTTAAATTCTACTGTGTATCTCTTAGTTCAGCAACTAACCACATTTCTCTAATTTGAAGACTTATTTAATGTGGAAAGTTTGACTTCGAAATTTACAAGTTTTGTTGCATTTTTTTAAGAAATAAGAAATATTTTAAGTATTGAAATTAGTAACAAATTTCTGGTAGTGTAATTACTATTTTTGTTATAAAAAACAAGCAAATTTTGAAATGATAAAATATCTTCTTTTACACATAATTAATCTAAAATATTGCTAATATATGTAATAATTGTATTGTGTTTTTGATTGTGTTCGATAGACAGTAAACAAAATGGTGCTGTGTATCCCCGAAGTTCTATGATAATTCTATTTAAGACATGTGGCAGCATCTAAAATTGTACAAGTAGTGGTTCAGTGATAATTCTATATTAAAAAAAATTAGTTTAAAAATGAATTTATTTGAATATTACAATTCCATAATCTAATCTAACATCTCATTGGCAGCAACTCAAGCTGCGTCGCACAAATCGAAAAACAAGTCCTCAAGTTCAGAGTGTTGCCATTCAGAGGTAGAGACAAACTGGAACATCCCAGCACCTGTTGGACAGTTGTCCAACATCATTTGGGAATGGGCTGATATTGGAGACAGCTTGATGAAAGATTCTATCTGATGTCCATGACTCGTACAAGTCCATTCGGATCAGGAAAGGTCTCCTCAAGCTTGTGTCCACTTCATGGGAGTCTTGTTTTTATCCTTCAGCAAAACTAGTTGTCCTACTCTGGGGTTGGATTTTCGTTGATTTCATCTTTTACGGGTCTGCAAATGGTTGAGATATTCCACACTCCAACGATTCCAGAAATTTGCTGTAAGTTTTTGCATTGAGGTCTACCTAGAAGAGCAAAGAATCTACAGAATCATTTGGTTCTGGTATCGATAAAAGTGGAGCTAATGACCTGGAGTCAGTGGCTGAAGATTCATAGGATCGCCGAAATAAGTGACGGGCTGATAGAAACTTTAAAAATAAGTTTTAAAGTTTCTATCGAGTTCAAGCAAGATTCTATTTGTGTAATTAATGTATGACTGGTTGAACTTCCTGTACCGCCATTAGAGGCTTAACAGGGCTTTGTGGAGCTATTTAATTAAAGAAACATTGAGATCTAAAACAAGGCTTAAATCAGGCCCATTAAGCAGTAGAACTACCACTTTACTACCTTGAAATAACTTAAAGTAGAATAAACAACTAAAAACTAAAATAGTCTGAAGCTTAATGTCTAGGAGCTAGTGAGATTTACCAGGTGCACCAACAAAAGCAACATTATTACATACTTTGCAAAATATTAACACATGTTACTTGTATGCATAAAAATATGTTACTTACATATGCGAAGAAATAAAATAACAGAATATCATAAACATTCTAGTTTTCCTTTAAACAGACAGGGAAACTTTAAACACAATCAATATATAAATTCATTTCATTTACAGATACATATTTTTATGAAATTTGACAATTTCAATTTAGTCACTGTATTTTTACTTAGATGCTTTAGAGTATTAAATTTTGCAATATCTGGAATTAATCTTGGAACAATATTTTTCATAGAAGAGCATCTAAACAACAGGTGCTCGATATCGACATTACTCATGCCACATGGACAGGCACAATTTTTAATTGAAGACCTATTATAATAAAAGGGAAAGTGTCCATGATTAGTTAAAGTTTGGTTTAGATACTTGTCACTTAGGCATCTTTTCTCACTTATAATTGAGATTAAATTATAAGTGAATCTTCCTTTAGAATCTGAGTCATTCCACTTTGCTTGCCATACAGTCAAACTTTTTCTTTTCAACAAGGATTTCAAACTGTCAAAGGAAGTCTTTATATCAAAATCAATCATTTGATTTTCAGTGACAGCCTTTGCCAATCTATCTACTAATTCATTACTAGTGGTACCAATATGACTCGTCGTCTGAAAGAGTTTAATATCTCTGAAAGCGCTAAGAAAAATGAGCATGTCTTTTATCTGTTTAATTAGATCGTTATTTGGACAAACACCCGTAATTGAAACAATTGCACTTTCACAGTCACTATAGATTTCTACAGGATCTATTGCAGAATTAGAAATAAGCCAATACAAGGCCTCTCGCAGGGCCACTAACTCTGTCTGATAGACAGATGCGTTGTCAGAAGTTTACATTTCCTTTGTAAGCTTTCTCAACTGAGAACACACAAAAGGCTGCCCCCACATGATAATTTAATTTAGATCCATCTGTAAAAATCGTGTAGCCTGTCATATTGGGAAGGCCTTTATGTCAATTCAACCGTTTCAACAAAGCTGGATGAATGTCTAAACCTTTTTCAAAGTCAAACTCTCTAGCTGAGAAGATCTCACTGAAACAATCGACAGTTTTATTACCAGCTTTTAATTTAAAGATAGCGTACAGTCAAAAGTCGTTAATTCGGACACCCATAATCCGGAATGATCTATAATCCGGACCTCAAAGCTAAAAACTTTCTGCTCATGCGCCACGTTGACACATGCGCATAGACATTTACGCATGCGCGTAAGACCTTTACGACTGCGCATCTGCGTGTGCGCAAGTGCAGAATACGTTTTCGCATGCGCGTTTAATGTATAACGGACGGTATAAGCTAAAATTATGTAATTATCTATTGCAGTTAATGTTGATGATTGCGTTGTTCCTTAATCTTCGAACTGGATCTGGCATATTACTTTTTTCAGACTTTAAGAGCAATTTTATAAAAGTAAACTTGAACTTTCGATTATGTCAAATAGAATTTCCGATGCTGGAGCTCCCAAAGGATCTACAAAAGCGAACAGTATGCTTTCGATGTTCCATTCAAACAAAAAGTGGAATTGCCACAAAAAATGGATAAAGACATGAAGAAGGTGACAGAGAGGTTAGTGAAAACGAAAAAATTTCGATTGACAAGTTAGTCGGTATTCTCGGCACAGCAATTACAGGACTTGAACAGTGGAACTTTGTAGCTGAACAAGAAATTATGTCTGTTTATAGAATTAAAGAGAAAGTATTATCACATAAAACGAAGCAACTTAAATTGAAAGAAATGTTTAATAAAGTGAACAAATAAATATTAAGCTTCTTTTTTTAAATTTTGATACCCTTTAGATCATAATTGTTCTTTATTTCATAAATTATGGTTTTATATTTTTAATTTTAGAATTTCTGCATGCCATTTTACGAGATTTAAACTGATGATCTATAATCCGGAAAAATCGATAATCCGGAATCGCCGAAGTCCCGACGAATCCGGATTAACGACTTTTGACTGTATTCTTTTTCCGCTAAAATATCGATCGGAGGACATCCAGCTAAAATCTGAAGAGCTACTGTGGAAACAGTTCTAAAACACTTAGTAATCCTCAATAAAGCGATTCTTTGAATTTGCAAAGTTTTGTTACGCATTCAGACCGTTCCAGTCCACCATGTGCCACATGCATACAAGATCTTTCTCTGAATAGCTCTTTTATATAAACTCTTAAGAACTCTACCTTGGAGATTTATTTTACTAAGTCTATTAAGAATATGGGTGCATTCGATCTTTATTTGATCTAGGTGAGGTATAAAAGTAAGCTTTTCATCGATCGTAATGCCCAAATATTTGATATTTGTAGAAACTGTAATTGATTGCCCATACAGTTTGCAGCTAGGATGTATTGATCCAGTATTAGTTTTGGCAATACCCCAAAGAAAGCTCTTCTTTGGATTAAATTTGAGTTTAACATGGAAAGACCATTTCTCCAATTCTTGAGTGGTGAAACTTAAAGCTTTATCAATAGTATGGTGACCATTTCCCGTGACCAATAAAACAAAATCGTCAGCATAAGCTTGTATACTAACATTTTGTGGTAAGGTTATGTTTAAAGCTATGTTAGCAATAATATTCCACAAAAGTTGACCAGATATTGAGCCTTGGGGGCAAGCCCTTTGATAATTTTTGTGTTGCCATTTATTACCATCATATAAGGAAACTTTTCTTTCATTCAGAAAATCACATATTAATAAGAAGATAGTTCTTGGACATTTCATATTTTTTAATTCCTTTAATAAAATTGACCACCAAACATTGTTGAAAGCGCTCTTTACATCGAAGGATAAAATTGCAGTATGTTTACCATTCCTTCTATTTCGAAGGATGTAAGAATTAAATTATCTATACCCTGGGTAGTACTTTTACCCGGCATAAAACCAAACTGATTTTTATTTAAAAAAT